GGAGGTGGTGATGGTGGCAGGATCCATCCCTCAGGAAGAGGAGGAGGTGATGGTGGCAGGATCCAGCCCCAAGAAGGAGGAAGAGGAGGCGGTGATGGTGGCAGGATCAAGCCCCAAGGAGGAGGAGGCGGTGATGGTGGCAGGGTCCATCCCTCAGGAGGAGGAAGAGGCAGTGGTGACTGTGGCAGGATCCAGCTCCACACCTAGCCTTGAGGATGACCATGAAGGCACAGAAGCCACTCCCAGCCTCTCAGCGGCTGTTCTGCCCTTGGAACCCCCTGCAGAGCCCAGCTCTCCAGAGGACCCCATGCCCCAAGAGCCCACCGAAGCTGCAGTGCCCACTCCTGAGCTTGCGGTGCCCGCTGAGGCTGCAGAGCCCGTTCCCAAGGTTGTGGCACCGGTTGCCATCCCGCTGCCTGCTCCCTGTCCACAGCTCTCCAAACTCATCCAAGTGCCTCCTCTCTCCTCCTCGCCGCTGCCACGCTTGGAGGACACCTCAGGGCTCAGCGAGGCCACGCGGCCAGAGGAACGTCCGTCTGTCCTGCCGGCCTCCAGGAAGCTGCTGGAGGGTAAGAGCTGCCTGTTTCCATTGCTGTGTGTGCCCAAGGGGTGTGGGGCTGGGCAGTGCTGGGATCGGGGTGGGCATGGGATGGTGCACGGGAATCCCTGCAGTCCTATTTTGGGAGGTGTTCAATTGAGCACACCGGGTTCCCGTTCACCATGAAGGTGTCCATCTTGTGACCTCAGCATCTCCCGTCCTCCCCTCAGCCCCAGAGCCATCCCCACAGAAGGAGAAGCCGAGGGGCAGGAAGGCACCGGCTGGCAGTAAGGGTGCACGAGGGCTGGAGGCAGAGGGGGGACCCCGCCGTGCGCCCCGGGGCTCAGTGCAGTCCGAATCGAGCTCCTCCAGTGAGGCAGAGCTGCCCTACCGTGTCCCCAGCCCTGCTGAGCACCTGCCTGCCATCGCTCTGCTTGAGGACAAAGCGGCACCGCGGCACGGTGAGGCCAACCATAAAGGTGAGGGGTGGGGTACAGGGGGGGGCTTTGGGGTGTTGAGGCGAGTGTCATCTTCACTGCGGCCCCTGTGTCTCGTGTAGGATCGTGCAATGAGTCTGAGAGCAACGATGAGTCCATCCCGGAGCTGGAGGAGCCTGAGGGCGCAGAGCCACGGCCCATGCAGACTCAGGTAGGGCTGCAGGCTTGGGAACTCTGTCCCCAGGCACCTGGGAGACCATGACATCCCATCACCCAACGCTGTGCCCCACAGGCGCCGCTCACCCACTCGCTGGGCACCGGGGAGGAGAGCATCAGTAAAGCCAAGCAGAGCCGCAGTGAGAAGAAGGCCAGGAAGGTGGGATGGGTGCTGGTTGTCCTGTGGCTTTGGGGTGGTGGCACTGGGGTGACGTCCCCATCCCAATGGCGTGGGCAGGGAGGGGATGTGGGCTGGGGGATTAGCTTGGCAGAGGGTTTGTGTCCCTGAGGTCATTGGTGGCTGCCATCAGGGTGTCTCTGTGCTGGGGGTGGTCTCTTTTTTACCCCTAGGGACAGCACTGTCCCTATGCTGCATCCTCCCAGTGCTGGAGGGCTGGGGACCCTGATGACATCATGTATGGAGCTCACCCTTGTGTCTCCTTCCTCAGGCCATGTCCAAGCTGGGACTGAGGCAGATCCACGGTGTCACCCGCATCACTATCCGCAAGTCCAAGAACATCCTCTTTGTCATCACCAAGCCTGATGTCTTCAAGAGCCCCGCGTCCGACATCTACATCGTCTTTGGGGAAGCCAAGGTGGGGCAGGGCTGTGGGTGCATCCTGGGGTCAGATGGCCCCGTGGGGACCATCCAGTGACCTTCCCTGTCCCTGCAGATCGAGGACCTGTCGCAGCAGGTGCACAAGGCTGCGGCTGAGAAGTTCAAGGTGCCCATGGAGCACTCCCCACTGATCACGGAGACGGCGCCTGCGCTCACCATCAAGGAGGAGAGCGAGGAGGAAGAAGAGGTTGGTGGGAGGCTGCCGTTGAGGTTGGATTGGGGGATGGGAGGCAAGTGGCTTGGCCTCTGTCGACAGGGCTGGCTTAGGGGCGGCGTTGGGTTGGGTGGTGGGAGGCTACTGATAGGGTTGGGCTTCTGGGTTGGGGATGACAGCACTGTCCCTGCTCCCGCAGGTGGATGAGACAGGATTGGAAGTGCGGGACATAGAGCTGGTCATGGCCCAGGCCAACGTCTCGCGTCCCAAAGCCGTGCGGGCACTCAGGCACAACAATAATGACATTGTCAATGCCATCATGGTGAGTAGAGCTGTCCTCATTGCTTATGGCTCTGGGGGTACAGACCGGCCCTGCGTTGACGCTGTGCTCTCTCCTGCAGGAGCTGACCATGTAGCGGCCGGCCCCGGCCCCCTGTATAGGTGCACAGTTTTCCTTGCCCTGATGTCCCTCCTCGAGCCCCGTGCCTCTGCCTTGCCCGCCTCCTAATGCTCAATAAATGGCCTCATGTATCACTTGAATCGCATCCTGCCTCCCTGCCTGCTGATTGGGGCTTGGAAGGGTTCCTAAAGCTCCTGGGGTGCGTGGCCCACGAGATGGGGACCAGGTAACTGGGGATGTGGTGTTTGGGATATGTGGGGTGCTGGGACGGAGGCTGCAGGCGGTGGCATCTGCCCTAGGATGGGGCTGAGCTCTGTTCCCTATCCTGATGGGGTGCAATGGGCAGGGGGCTCCTGTGGGGGCTGAGCAGGGGCTGGTAGAGCTCAGAGTTCCCCAAACCTCGGACCTTGAGGCTTTGCATGCCTCAAGTTAAATTATCTGACACGCTTCAGGGCACTGTGGAGAGGCAGGTGAGGGTTTTAACAAGGAGACAGACCACAGCCAGGTGCAGAGTTATATTTACCTGTAACAAATACTCCATACAGAAAGCATACATACAAAACACCCCCGGGGCGTCCCCGGCTCCCCCTGCGGTGCTCGGGGTCTTGGGCAGCACGGGGGCTTGTCGTGGTGGGGAGCAGCAGTGGGGTTTTTTGGGGAAGCACTCGGTCACCTCAACAGAGTTCTGACAAACAGTTATCTCCAGAACTAAATCACATTTCCCAGTGAAGTATAAAAAAATACCATCAGCTGCTACAGCTTCTGCTAAATGCATCTCTGTACACAATCTTTTCAAAAATAGGGTTTTTCTTTTCCAGATTTCCTTAAGCTGTCAGTGACTCAAGGGTCAGTTTGTGTCATTGGTGATGTTTTCTTCTTTATAAATCTGCATGTGTGTAAGAAGGCACTGAGGACTCAGCATAGCCAGGGCTCTGGAGCAGTGCTCCCAAGCTCAGTGGGAGCTCAATGCCTGTTCCTCCTGACTTGTGAGTTTTGGGGTTGGTTTTTTTTTTTTTTTTCATTTATTTTTTTTCACTTTTTCTAACCCTGCTGGTGCAGGGGCTGCAGCTCTCCTTGCTCTCCTGCTTGTGGTCCAGCTGTTGACAGAGCAGCCTCAATGGCAAAGGGAAGAGTTGTTTTTGTTTTTATGGCTGTGATTTGCAGTGTGGAGCTGCCTTAAAAGGAAGTGCCCCATAGCAGGACACAAGTGTGCACCTTTTAAAGATGAAGCACTGAGCTGTGGGGTCATTGGGGCTGCAATCCTGGACCGCTGTGCCTGCAGGAGCAGGGTAAGAAGTAGCCCAAGGGGCAGAGCTGAGAGAGGGGAGAGGATGCAGGGGTGAAGGCTTGGCTCTGGGCTCTGTCCCAGCTGCAAAGGGAGCGTGGCAGGATGGCATCCAAGTGGTGGATCCACAGCAGGATGGCAGAGAACTGCATCTGGTTAATGAGGGAGCAGCCTGGCACTGGGATGATGGTGGCAAGCTTCTGCATGGGGCTGCAGAGGATAAGCAACATTAAAGGGCAGTGGGAGCTCTGGGCTGTGTTACTGCAGTGGAAGCAGTGCAGCAGGACAAAGCACAGAGGAATGTGCTGGAGGGGCTGAATTCCCCTGCAAAGTGCTGAGCAAGTGTCTGGGCTTGGGTCCTGCAGAGGCCAGCCAGCTCCAAGCAAGGGCACGGGGTTACCTCTGTGTCCTTGTGCTATATACACCAGAGCCTCCCCTGCTCCTCACTGCCTTTGGTCCTTCTTCCATCCCAGCACCTTCACAGGGGGTGCTGGAGCTGCTTTGGGCAAGGGCAGGGCTTAAGGGGGTACAATGCTGAGCACAGCAGCACTCCTGAGCATGAATCAAAACAGGGACAGTCCTTTCCTAAAGGGGTTGCAGCCTGTGCTTCCCCTCGTAGCCACAGAAGTGTGCAAAGAAAGGGAAGCTCCAGCTCTGCTCCCTGCCCAGCACAGCTTGCCCAAGCCTGTGCTCTCTTCCTGCTGCTTGTGTTTTTGCACTGACTGTGCTTGCTCCTACCCCAGCTCCTGTGCACCCAGCAAGCAGAGCTGCATGCCCGTGGGTTCTGCCAGCACCTCCCTTCAAGCAGGATTGCTTCCTGGGCAAGGGATACAGATTAAAAAAATAAGTGTGTATTTATAACCGCGTGTAAAATATTTACAATATGTACACCGTGTGCTGGAGACCCCACTGTGTTTGTCCAGGAGCAGCTCTCACCTCCATGGGTGTGTGATAATGTCCTTTGGGACCTCAGGAGCCAGCAGAGGCTCTGCGCTACCTCCCACCACTGTGAACGTGGGGCAGGTGCTGCCTCCTTCCTGCCACTGCTGGAGCGAAGGCAAGGAGTGGGCAGATGGGGTTTGTAATCCAGGTTCCCTGCAAGGACAGAAGCAAAAGCACAAAATTTGGGAGCCCAGCTGAGAGCATGCTGCAGGAGGATGGAGAGGAGGGGGCGAAGCAGAGCACCTGCAGGTCTGGCTGCGAAATGCTGTGCCAACTGCAAGGCTAGGCTTAAATAATTCACATTGTGGTAAACTTCATTCAAAAGAGGGGAGGAGGAGAGCAGTTACAAGAAGGACACCATGTGCAAAACTGTAAACCAGGGAGGGCTGTAGGCAACCTGCCTCCATGCAGGGCTCTCCCAGCATCGCTCCCTGCGCGCTGACGGGACCAGGGAAGGCTGGAGGACGGGCTCCTACCCGGCTCCTCCTTTGCAGCGTGCCTGCAGCAACGCACACCTTCACAGTAAGAGGGCACAGACAGCTGCTGACGCAGACGGGAGAGTAACTACATCCTTCTCCACCCTGAAAACCTCTTTGGAAACGAGGGTCTGTCGGGCAGGTGCTGCCAAAGCCTGCCGGCTCTCAGGAGGAGTCGCGGTCCATGCTGCAGCCCAGCGCCTCGATGTCGTTGCTGATGTGTGAGATCATGCGGTCCCACTCGTCCTCCTCCGAGGGCACAGACTGCTCATCCGAGCTGCCGGCCGCGCCGTTGCCGTTGGTGGTGGAGTTGGAGGTGGTGCTCAGCGTCCGCCTGTACCTCCCAAAGCTGTCTGTGATGATGCCGCGGCCGTCCTTCACTCCGATGGTTTCCAGGAAGTTCTCAAAGTGTTGGCTGTCCTTTTCGGGAATGAAGGGCCGTAGGCCTTTCCCAGGGAAGAAAACACAAGGAGGGAAACATCAGCTGCAGCGTTTCACATGGGTAGGGTTTGCTGGAGGAGCTCTGAGCGGTGCTTTTGGGGCCGCCGGTGCTCCCATCTCATGGCTGCCCCGAGAAAGGCAGATGTGTACGGGCCAAGGACGATCCCTGGGGGCTGCAGTGGGATTTCTCAGCTCCAAAGGATCGTTTGTGACTTCATATTGCTGGGCTTTGCTCATCTCGTTAGTGTAACAGCATCAGCATGAGATTAAGGCCCCTGGCAGAGGGCATGCAGAGCGCTTGGGGGCCATCTGTCCCCATCTCTGCACCCTGCTGCGGAGCCGGCGTCACGAGCTGGGTGCTGTCACCATGGGGGCACAGCATGAGGTTGTGGAGTGAGTGGCTGCATTGCAGCTCTGTCTCAGGCAGCTTCTGGGTGTGCTGCTGACTCTCCTCACCTCTCCCACCCCCACCTTTAGGGTCACAGTGATCCCCACCACCAAGGAAACTTGCACGACCTCTGGCAGGGGCTGCAGGAGGGAGTTAGAGCTCTGTGATTTTTAAGCTCCCATCCAACTTAAGCCATTCTATGATTCTTTACAGGAAAGCCAAGTCCATGCTGCTTTTCAGCAGTGTGGTCAATATAAAATCAGCCTCCCAGCACAGGGGTTGTGTTGTGCGTTGGCTTTGGTAATGGTGACATGAAAAGCAAGCAGGCTGTGTGCACAGGGATGAAAGCAAATGCTTTTGTGCTGGTGCAGATGCCTGACTACACTTCTGTGTGCCCAGGACAAAGGGAGTGGAGGCCATGCTGCCCCTCCCTCCCTGTGCTGTTGAGTCACTCTGGCTGCTTTCAGCAGCTCTCCATCTAAATGAGAGCAAAAAAAAGGCACTGCACGCAGAAGCACCAGGCATCTGTGAGCGAGAGCTGGGGCAGGGCCCTGAGCTCAGCCCCAAGGTTCTTTTGCTCCCTGCTATTAATGCTGTTTCAGATTATTAGAGACAAAATCAAAGCAAGGAGCTTGAGTTGAGGGACTCTGAGAGCCTCTGAGGCAGTTGGCCTCCTTTTAGTGCAGGGAAAGGAAATGGTCCTGCCTGCCTCCCACGTAATGGTGTCAGCATGTGCCTGCTGGCACTGTGCTTGGCTCCATGACTGTAAGGTCACACTGTGAGAGCACAGGTCCTCAAGGCATCCTCAACAAGCTGAACACCCAAACTGTACTGTGTTGAACTTGGCCAAGACCCAGCTTCAGGGACACAGGAACATTGAGTGCTACCACTAAGCCACCAAACCAAGGTGTTTCAGGAGCCGAGGAGCTCATCTGGAAACCAGAAGACAACTAGCAGCGGGCACAAGCAAAGCCAGACACAAAGGGAAGACACTCACCCAAGAGCAGGAACTTCCTACTGTCCCCATAGAGCTGCTTCAGGTTGATGCAGAACTCGTGTATCGAGGCTCCGTTGCGATATTCGTGCAGCAGCATTGCAAACTGCTGGATCTCTTGGGAAGAGAGCTTTGTTCGTAGCTGAGGACACAAGCACACCACAAATGGTGCTGATTTTCTTGGAGCACTCTTTCAGCTCTGATGAGATGGGAGGGAGAAGAGAGCATGGGAAGCCTGGGAGAGGGGTTTGCTTCTATTCTGATGGGAGCCACTGAGCTGTGGTGATGAACCCGGCAGGATGGGGTGGTGCAAACTGCTCTGAGCTGCCAGCTGTCCAGCTTTTGAACTAAGAAAAGCTGTGAGCATGCTGCAGAAGTGCAGCTCATGAAGTGATGGACATGGGAACCCTGTGTCCCACCACAGTGAGAGGGGGCAATCAAATGCAGGTGCTTTAGCATGAAAAAGATGAGAGCCTGCACTGGACTCCAGGCCTGGAAAGATGATGTGTTCCTATACCAGCATGGACAAAATCACATTACCTGCAGGGCCCAGACAATGCTGGAGCAAACAGGGAGGAGCTCAGACGATGC